AGTGACAACCACACAGCCCCCGCCATCTTCCAACACTGTGGTCACACAGGCAGGTCACCAAAAATGTTTTGTGGTCATTTCATTTGGTTCCTGCCCCACCATGGCACTGGGGGACTGAGCAAGTGCCAATGCCTCCTACACCACCATCCCATATTATACAGCAGTGCCAGTGGGGAATCCCACCTTGGCCATACTGGGAAGAGGCAACGGGTCTGAGACATTGTTATTCGAAAACATCAATCAATAAAGACATTTCTGTCAGGGTTTCATCTGGAGACAATAATCCCATTTCCTCTTTCCCCGTGTTCCAGGTGTACGTGCACTCCACAGGAACAGTGAACACCCTGACAGTCCCACCACACGTGGCACCAGCCCATCAGCTTCCCACCCAGCTCCAAGGGGCAGCTGGAGGGTGCTGAGGCTCCCAGGGCTGTGAGGGAAGGAGTTGGGAAGCACCAACACACGGATGAGGAGCCTCTGAGCAAACACTTGGCAGCAGTTTTAAAGCAACAAGGAAACCACCAGCTCCAAAATCCCTTACCAGGACCACAGGATGGGGACACGCCACCAGTCCACGGGCCCTGGCAACCCTGAGACCAGTTCCCACCGCTAACCCCTCCCCCAGATGTGATCATACCAAGCACAATCCCACAAACAGCATCCAGATGTGATCTGGGAGGCTCAGTAAACGTTCTTCATCTTCTGACAATAGTGCCCAGAAGGATTTGGAGAGCTGACAAAAAACCTTTGAAGTTTTATGTAATGCGCTTCAGACTCGCACAGCGACAGCTCCATCGTCCCCATCCCACCCCCAGCACCCCTCCCACCCCCTGAGGTGCTGCAGGGCCAGGAAACACCAGCCTAAAATTTGCAGGGGGTCTTGTGCTGCTGAGCTGAGGGATCGGGGAGCTCGGACGCTGCTCCGCTGTTTATCTCCATCTTGGTGGTCCAGGAATCACACTGAGGAAAACTGCACTCAGGACATTTCCTCTGTTTCCTGGTCCAGCCTGAGAATACTGTGGGAAAAATTATTCCCAGAAAAAAAAAACCAAACAAAAACAAACCTGGTATCTCTGAGCCTGGCCTGGCAGTGAGGGGAGAGCGAGAGGCAGGAGAACAGGGGAGCAGCACTCCCAAAACCAGGGAAGGGCTGCTGGGGGTATTTTCTGACAGAGTTTCCTGAGGAAACATGGGTTGAGCCACCCTGTCTGCCCATCCCCACAGTTTCTGAACCGCTTATTTTGCTCGTGACAAAAAAACTGAGCGAGGATGAGCAATTGCAAGAGACATTCCGTGGGGTTTGGAATCCCACACAGCCCTTCCTGTCCCTGACCAGGAAAACGCTGCAGCTCGATTTCTGCTCGTTTAATAAGGGGCTACGAGATGTCCCGGCCTCAAAGCCTCTAACCAGAGCCTGCACCTCCTCAGGCAAGGAAAATTCCAACACCCAAATGCAACTCCAGGCTCTCTCCTCCTCGACAAACCCCTTGATTTTCTCCAAAGCTTTGCCCCTCCATCACCAGGATTCACCTCCCACCACCCTCTCAGAGCTCCATCACACTCTCCTCAACGTTCCACCCTGCTCCTCCAAGATTCATTTTCATCTTTGTCCCCCAAACCTGAGCCAGGGCTACAAGAGTCACATTTCCCCATGAAATTCCCGGAAAAACGTTCCTGCTTTTAATGAGATTTTTTTTTTTTCTGCTGACTTCCATAGCCAAGCTAATAAAAATGGAAAGCAATAAGAAATTCCAGCAGAAGGGAGGTGTGGGGGAGGAGAAAAGGGAAGATACTGCTCATTTAAACCTATCCTAAATAGAAGATAATTAGCCACATATATCCCAGAAAGAATAGCAACAGTATATGCAATTATTGGGAATGCACACTTTAAGAGCATTTGCCAAAAATGCCTGTTTTTATTAAAAAGGAATGGTTTCACAAAGGCCCAACTGTAAGAAAGGTTGTAATTTGCCCAAATAAAACTTAATTTGATCCATGAAATAGCTGTGGTTTATTGTGTAATATATGTGCTATGTGTTTTAATTTAATAGAATCCAATATAATTGTAAGCCAGGCGAGTTTCAGAGCAATTTTGGGTTGTTCCCACAGTGTCTATAGCACAGATGCTACTTTGTGCCCATCCATAAATCAGGAATATAGGAAGGATTATCCACAAAGCACCGAGTGAGGCTTCATCACGCACCAGACGGAAAATAAGACCTCGGAGGGAAGCAAAGCGAGTTATTTACAGGAAATAACTCTGGATGCTCTGCACTTAACCACTGCCACTCAGGCTCCTGGATGCAGGTTTGGGGTGCTGGTGATGGGGCAGAGGCTGCAGGGACCAGCCCTGGATGTCCCCCAGCAGCACGTGGTGCTGTGGTACCCCGTGGCAGTGACAGGTCCCCTCCCTCCCAGGGGACCACCAGGTTCAGCCCAGGCCACCTCAAGTGAGGGGAACTGGAGATGAATCTTTATTTCTGCTTTCTAGGAAAGCTGTGGCTGATTTGCCATGGATGGGAGCAGATGTGTGCCCACCCACAGGGCAGCTCCTGCTCCCAAACAGCTCGGACAAGGGACAGGAGGGGCACACTGGGGTGAAGGCACCAGGGTTTCTCATCCCCCAGCACAGCTCTGCAGCCACCCAACACCCATTTTCTCAGAAAACAGATAAAAACCAGCCAGGGAAAAGAAGGGAGCAGCAGATTCACCACCAGCCCCACTCCCCAAACCCACCAGCTCAAACCCCCAGGCCACGCTCTGCACCAGCACAGGGTTCCCACAGCCCTGTCCCTTCAACCAGCAACCTCCACGGGGCTTTTACCTCAAGGAGACATTTGATTTTTTTTTTGTCCCGGTGTTTGTCAGGAAAAAATCCAACCCACTCTGGCTCCTGAGGCTCATCCCACCCCTCAGAGGCACCAGGAGAGCAGCAGCTCCACGCTCTGATCCAGGACCACTCCATGCCCTGGGCAGCTGTTACAGCTCTTCCTCCACCTCAGTCCCACCCGAGGCCGTGCCCAGCTCCACCACGGAGCAGAGCTGAGCCTGGAGGGCCCACTGAGGACTTGGGAAGCTCAGGGACACATCTGAGCAGTTCTGCACCTCTGGCAAAACCATTAAGCCACATCCCAAAGAGCTGGAGATGTTCCACTACTCACGGAGATGACGAAGCCAAGCAGCATCACACCCCAAAACAAACCTCCAGCTCCTTCCTCTGCACCAAGAGTGGTTTTTTTTTTATTTTTCCCTGTTAACCCACACATGGGGAGGCAATATTCAGCTTTTAATTACGCATTGAACAAACCCACCACATTTTTATAGCAGAGATAAAACCCTGAGAAGAAGGATTAAGGTCTGAAGACTGACAGCCCTTGTAAAACTGTGGCTAAACCTGTGCCACAAAGGGATTTCAGTCTTTTTTTTTTTAAGAAGAGCTGAATGTGGATCCTTTGAGCATTAATTTCTTTTCCATTCTGGCCAGTAAAAGGCATTTCTCAATCACAGCAGCAATGAACACCAGGGACAGGGATGATGAATGTCTTCTCACAGGAGGAGCAGCAGCCTCTGGGACCCACCAGACCCACCAGCAGTAACTGGCTGCTCCTCATCAGTCTATTTTAAAATCCAGTATTACTAAATTAAAAGGGTCTTGTCAAATAAACACACAGCACACATCAAAGCCATCAGGACTCAGGTCCAACACTGGAATTGCTAATTCAGGACTTCTACTGGAGTAGACTTGGGGTGTATTTGGCACAGGGGAGGCAGACACAGATTGTGCAGCCTCCTGGTTGCACCAGTAACACCACAAGAAACCAGCTGATGCCTCTGCCACCGTCTTGACCCCCACAGAAAAAGGTGTCCAGCGAGTTCCACTGCTTAAGCAACACCTCAGAACACCCCCACGTCCCATCCACCTCCACAGATGGTCCACAAAGCAGCCAGAGCAGTCAGACCACTCCATCTCGGGCTCTGCTTGCAGGACCAAGGTCTTGCTCCTCACTGGCAAGGAAACCCGAGGGCTGGGGAAGCTCCACCCGAGCCTTGGAGGGGTGAGAGTCACCAGCTTGAGTTCCAAACCCTCACAACAAACCCACGAGCTCTCCCTACAGTCATTGAGAAGTTGGAGTGAGCTCCAGGGTCAGTGAGCTGCTGGAGCCCCTCAGCACAGGTGGAGAGGTGTGTTTGCTCAGGGATGTGCTGCCCTGTGTCCCCTCTGCCCACGCAGGGTTGAGGGGTGCCACACACACCCTGCCTTGGTACCCAGCTCCTCCAGCTCAGTCCGACCCCCTGGAGCAGCACCACGGCATAAAAACAAAACACTTCCCAGCTGCACTGCCCAAAACATCCCTCCTCCAAAAAAAAAAGAGCCCCCAGTGATGTGTAACCACTCAGGTGACCCAACAGCCTTGCCAGGACAGGACTGAACCAGCTCCAGCTCCAAAGGGACCACACAAACCCTGCAGCAGCTCAGCCCTGAGGCACCCACGGCAGCGCCAGGAGCTCAGCCCGAGCACCTCCTGCCAAGGGGCTGCTTGGACTTCTACCCTTACAACACAGACAAAACACCACACAGACCTCGAAGGAACAAGAATAAGGAACGTGCCACTTACCTCAGGTGCCAGGAGACCACGATTCCTTCAGGAAGGAGGAGAAAACGCACTCAGAAAACCCCAGGAGGCTGCTGAAAAAGGGAAGGGCTGTGGCCATCCTGCTTTTATAGGGGCTGGGGCAGATGGGCAAACACCAACAGCTGTGTGTGGGCACAGGAGAAACCCATCAGCTTGTTAATAAAGTCCAACCATGGCCAGCTGCTCCTGCAAACCCTGGCAGGGAAATAACCGATCTTTCCCTGATGGAAGTGCCCTCAACCCACAGCCACCTCAAGGGCTGCTCCAAGGTGTCAACTCACACCCCTCAGGTCAAACCCAGTGCACAGGGAAGGCTCCAGCTGAGCTTGAGATCGTCCAGCGTGGAGTTCAAGAGCTTTGAAGTCCCAAATCTTCTTTAAAGAATCCTAAACGTGAATGACTGTAAGATTAAAGGAGCAAAATGGGACAGAAAAGGATACTTATTTCATTGCCTCACCCTAAAATCCTTTTTTATTCCCTTTAAAGCCTTGCTGTCAAAATAAAACTCCAGATTTGTTCCTGGAGGAAGCACATGAGTAATGAAAAATGAAGCACCATCAGGGGATTGCACAAGGGGAAGCCCAAATTTAACCCTCACGTGCAGCCTTGGTGCTGTTCTGTCCAGAAGATGGATGGAGTGGGTAATGATGGTGCTGCTGCATCGCTGTGTGCACACGAGGAGGAGGAGCAGGACAGGGAGGAAGGCAGCAGCCAGCTTGGGATGTGAATGCTAAACCTTTTGGGAAGTGGTGGGAAATGCTGGGAAAAAGTAAAGGAAATGGGGAGAAGCAAGTGAGCTTTTGGCTGATTCTTCCCAGGTAAAATGAGGAGAGTGTTAACAAAAATCTCCTAAAAAAACACCCCAAAACATAAAAATGGCCTCTTGACTGACCACAGGAAAGTGATACCACAAGGGAGGGGGGTGGTATGGCAGGACCCACCAAACCCAAGCCAAAAGGGATGAAAAAAAAATCCCTGCAAAGCTCTTGAAAGCTGCTTTAAACAAGAGTGACGTGTTTTGACACCGTTCCCTAAGAATGGCTGTAACACAAACAAAAATCCATGATGTCAAGTATTAATAGTGATGCTGCAGGAAACTCAACCAATGTGGTCCCAATTAAACATCAAATATGGTTGTAATTTGAAAAATGACTGAGGAAATGTCACTGGGACGTTGCTCTGCTCGGGTCTCTCCAAACATCCACCCAGCTCTGTGAGATTCCCTGTGGGATGCAGTGCCCACCTTTCCCCACCCCTGGAAGTGTCCAAGGCCAGGCCAGACGGGGTTTGGAGCAATTTGGGATAGCAGAAAGTGTCTCAGTGGAATGAGATGAGCTTTAAGGTTCCTTCCAACCCAAACCATTCCAGGATTCCCCATCCTCACTCAGGAGGGCTTTTGAGTAGTAAGTTTGGGTCTTGTTTTGTTTTACTCCGAGTTTGAGGAGGTCTCACTGCACGTTTTCCTCTGCAAATACAAAGGTGACAAAAACACCCCCTGTGACCTTGAAAGCTGAGGTGCTTCCCAGTCACTGCACTCCAGAGGCTGGGACTTCATGGAAATCCAAGGTACAGGGATTTGGAACACGAGTCCAAGACTTGGCAGCGCTGCTCCCTGGCAATAAATAACTTCCCTAACCAAGCCAAGCCAGCGTCCAACCTGCCCCTGGCAGCACGTGGGTGCCCTGTGCTGACAGGGATGGAGTTCAGGCACAAGTCAAGCAAAGGGCCTGATTTTATCCAGTATTTCCAGAGTGTAAATCAGCCCAGACAAGCACATTTGCCCAGGACACTTTTCTGGCTGCAACTGCTCCTCAGAGCAAATACATTCTTCCCAAACAGTTCTGAATCGGTTTATTGCCTGGACAACAGACTGGGACATCTGTGGGACAAAAAACCTGCACACAACTCATCCAATCCCTTCCTCTGAGTTACTGGAGAGGCTCCTGAAATTCAGACCACACTCCAACAGAGGATCCCCCAAAGCAGGAGTTGTCCACACCCCCTGTTTGTGTCTCAACCACAAAACACGTCTGGGGAGGTGCTGGACTTGCACACAAGCCCTGTGTGAAAGGCTGATGTTCCAAACTGCTCCTACTGGGCAGCTTTGAGGGCCACAATAACTTCTGCTTTTCTCTTTGCACTGAGGAGCATTAACCTGCCCAAACTTCAGCATGAACACCCTCACCACGTTCTGTGTTATCAGAGACACCGTCCTGAGTGACAACAGGTACAGGAGACTTTCCTTTCCCCTTCTCCAAGTGCTCCCTTTGCTCTCCAGCTGTCCTCACTCACCCTCCTCTTGGAGCCAACTGCAGCCTCCCAACTTATTTACTGGCTTTCTGGGGTCCTGGCTGGGATGGGAGACAGAGGGCACCCCTCTGGACCTCCCCTGACTGCAGAGCACCCCAGCAGACACTGTTAGCCTTCAGCTGGGGGGGGGGGGGAGAAAAAAGACAATTAAATCCCCCCCCATAATGCGAATACTTTATTATCAATGAGTGACTGGTATTAGCTTTTTGTCTGGGTATTAATAATATTTCAAAAAAAAACATACATCAAAAATTAGGGCTTTCTCCTATTTTTTGCTGTATAATTTTTCTTTTTTTTTTTTTCTTCTTTTAAAAAAAAAAAAATCTGTATTGAAAGAATTATATAAGCCAAAGTGCATTTTCCGTTTTTTGTCCATATACACATTGCACCATACATAAATAATTACATTGTAAAAATGACTCCATAATTACAAGTATAATATATATTTTCATATAATATATAAAACTTTATATTAAATCTAGGTAGATGATATTTGGGATAGTCTGTGTCTTTTTTTTTTTTTTTTTTTTTTTAATTTTTGTAGGGTATTTTTTTTTTCCCCCCCCTCCTCCCGCGCTGTCTTTCCTTTCGTGGAGAGGGCCGAGCGTTATCGGTTGTTGCTGAGCAGGATCTCCAGCCAACACGGGCAGGACGTGATGAACTGTCTGGAGTAGCAGGGCCCCCAGCCCTTGGCGAAGCTGATGCGGACGCTGTTGGGGTCGTAGGGCCCGTCTGCGTACTCCAGGTCAGCCGAGTGCTGCAGCAGGCAGGACCTCTCGTAGTCGAACACCTTGATGGAGTAGCCCGGCATGACCTTGCGCACGATGAGGGTCCTGCAGTTGGGGATGTCCAGTGTCGGGGAGTTGACGAAGATGGGGTGCTCGCTGCGGTTGTAGGCCCACACGCCGTCCGGCTCCTTGCTGAGCAAGATCCCGTAGCCGATTTTACTTCGAGTCCTTCTCACAGTCTCGCTCCTGTTGTCCAGGTTTAGCTGTCCGAGGCAGAAGCCGTTTCCTTGAGGTAGGTCGTAGAAGATACTGACAGACTGTTCGTACACTGTGTACAGGCGGCCCACGCGCGTCCGGTGCTCCCAGTAGGCCACGTTGCACCAATGGCTCCTCTTCACGGCGTCGGGCGACGTGCTGGCATCTGTGGGGGCAACACAGGACACTCCGTGACCACCTGGAAATGACAGGTGTGGAGGGGAAGGGAAAAGGCTCTTCCCACCCCATCGGCTTTGCTCGCCTGACAACTGAACTTGTGCTCATCCCAACTTTTGTGTTCAGCACTAACTCCACACTCACCCAAAATTCATGTTCAGCACTAACTCCACACTCACCCAAAATTCATGTTCAACACAAACTCCACACTCACCCAAAATTCATGTTCAGCACAAGTTCCATGCTCTACCCAAAATTCACGTTCAACACAAACTCCATGCTCTGCCCAAAATTCATGTTGAAGCCAAAGTTTGTATTTAACCCAAAGTTCATGCCTAACCCAAAACCTGTGCTCAACCCAAAGTCCATCTTCGACCCCAAGTTTGTGCTCAACCCAAAACTTGTGCTCAATTCAAAGCTCATATTTAACCCGAAGTTCACGCTTAACCCAAAGCTTGTACTCAACCCAAAGTCCACCTTCAGCTCAAAGGTCACACTCCCCCCAAACCTCATCTTTAATTATGTCAAATACCACCGAGACAGATGGCTCAAGCAAGGTTTGACCCAACAAGACACCCACCAGCCCCCACGGAGCTCAACACATCTCTGTCTCTCAAATTTAACGTTCAGTTCTGGGTCCAGCAGCCAGGACCCCGTGTCCTCAGGATATGTGGATGTCTCCCACCAAGAGCCAGCAGGGATCCTGTACCCCTCCTGGTGGCTCCCCAAGCTCCTCCAGCACTGCTGTGGTGCTGCACCCTCACTTTCAAAGCCCAGCTTGTGTTGAGCTGAGGCACAGGCATGTCCACAACATGCCTGGATGAGCGACCCAACATTATCTCCACTGTGTAAATATTCCTTGACAGCGACGCCGATGTTCCCACAGGGAACATGAAATCTGAGGAAGCGCTTCATGCCAAGGGGGAGTAGCTGCTATGAACTACACATGTCCTCCTAAAAACCCACTGGAAGGAAGTCTCTGCAGACAACAAGAAACATCTTTCTAGGAATCACATTTGGGGCAGGGGACAGACACTGCCAGACAGCTGTTTAATCCACGATGCCTCCACACTTAATGATGCCTCCAGAAGGAAGACGGGAACTCTCAGCCCTGAAAGAGCCCCGAAGAGGGCGAATTAACCTCTTGCTGAGCATCATTCCTGCTCCTACAGCACCAGCTAACAGAAAAGCAGCCTGGAATTCCAAGCCAGGAGCTCTGCTCCGAGCTCAGTGCCCGGCATTAAGCTCCCTGACAATCCCTGGCGCGCCCGCGGCCTGCTGACCCCGGTGCCTCCGTGCCATCACGTCCCATTAACTCACCCATGGGGTGATGCCATTATTTTGCTCCAGAGAGCCCATTGACACACTGGATTTTCAGGCACGGCCCCTCCAGCCCCGCTTCTGTTCAGGCTCAAATTACCCCTCCCCATCAACCAGCTCTGCATTAGGCGGCTTTGCTGGATTTCACTTGAGTTGTAACCATGTAAATTTAAGGGGAGATGGGGGGAGGGGGTCACTGGGAAGTCCATTGCTGTGGGCAGCGCTCATCATCTTGAACCAACCCCTTCACAGATCATGGTTTTGGGAGAGATCATCCCAGTCCCATGGGCAGGGACACCTCCCACTAGACCAGGTTGCTCAGAGACCCATCCATCTTCCACAGCATCCAGTTTCCATAGTCATTTTTCCCACACAGACGCTCCCAAAAGTCTCCTAAAGCACTAAACTTTGCTGTTGTCCCACTCAAGTGGTCTGGGGGGGGGAGGGGGGCACAGCCCAGCTCAGGGCCTTTCATCTGGGGGCTGGTAGCAATTACCGAGCTCTGCATCTGTTTAACCTCCCAACCTCCTCAAAGCCCTCCATGCTCATTAGCTAAGCTGAGCTTGTTATTGCATTTTTTAGGAACTACCACTCAGCCCCTGAATTTCCCTTCCAGACTAAGGATGGGGCAACTTCAAAACTCCAGTTTTCCCCATCAGCTGAATTAATCAGGGCAACAGGCAGCAATAAACATTTAAAGAGGTGTTTCCCATGGTTTACTGCAAATTAACATACGAGGGGGGAAAGCAAAGCAGGATTCAACCTGTGTCTGTCCTGCAAGAACATCTCTCTGGAGGTGCCACCAGCCCTGGTGTCATCTCTGCTTTCCAGAAAACGGCAAATACTTTGGCAAAATCATCCATGAAAACAAGGGGAGGTTTTTTTTACACCTCCTGCTTTCCTGCATCTGAAATAGCTCCGTTAAAACCATTTCTGTGCAATTTGTGGCAGGAGCTTCACAGTTCATCCATCCATCCATCCATGAATGCATCCCCCTGTCAATGTGCTCCTCATCTCTGTCATCCCATCCCAGCTCCTGCCTGGCAGTGACAGCTCTGCCAGCTCCAAGCACTCTCCTGGAGGTGCCCTGTGCTCCTTCAAACACGTCAGGACATCTGAGGTAACTCCACCTCAAGCAGTGAGAAGTTTCCTTTCCAACCCACCTTTCCTGGCTGGGGGCAGGGGAAGTGGGGAAGAAAGGCTTTAAAATCCACTCACCAGATGCAAAAGCAACCTGCCTGTGACCCCCAGGCAAACAAAACCCCCAAAAGGAGACACTACAAGGCTCATCTGAGAAGCCTCTGCCTGCACAAAGCTGTCGGGAGGGTCCCTCTTCCAGCACTCCCCGGGCCGTGGTGGGTTCCTCTCCCTTCTTTCATCTCCCAGTGCACTCAACCAAATCCTGCAAAGATGAACTCATCCCACAGCCCTGACATAAAGCAAGCACTCCAGCAAGCCCCCAGACCAGGGGGGCCTGTGCTGTGTCTCATCCCCTGCCAAGTATTAGTTTCGCCTCCAGCCATCAGCCACTACCACTCAGCAGACAGCAGGGGTGGCCGGCACAGAACCACATCCTCTGCCTTCTAAATAAATATTCCACTTTTTCCTCCTTTTTTTTTTTTTTTTTTTTCCACCCTGCCCTTTAAGCAGAGACAAGAAAATCCACTTTTTGTTCTTTCCACCCCCCCTCCCTTTCTGCTGGAACAGAGGCAGGCTTGTTAGCTCGCTTTTTGAAGAAAGGAAAATATTTCGGTCCCGTAGTGGTACACGACGTGTTTTTAACAACTATCATTGTAGGCAGCTACAACTTCTAGCAGCTCCACCGAGGGTGGAGTCAGGACTATCTCCTCCATCAAAGCCACCTCCATCCATCAGATGGAACGGCTGAAACTCCAGCTTGTGTTTACTCCTTCCTCCGCTGCAGCAGACACATCCAAAAGGGAATTCAAACAATTTTAAGATAAAAAAAACAAGATAGGAGAATCAAACCCGGAATTTAATGGGAAAAGAGTCTTGCACAGCTCAGGGTCTGGGAATAAATGCAAAGAGCAAACACTGTAAATCTCCTGGTGTGAGCAGCACCGCTGCTGTCGCTCCCTGCCGAGTGTGGAGGTAAAGAAAATAACTTGAGGTTTGAGACTATTTGTGATTTGACAGCGTTTTCTGCCAGTAAAGTTCAAAGCAGCGCACGAAAAGAGAAAAGAAAGATGCCTTTTTCCAAAACAAAAACGCTGCACAGCCCCACTGCTTGAAGCTGCACTTAAAAGCAGGATGGAAAACATGGGCAGGTCACGAAACACACGAAATAAATAGCTGTGATTCAACGCTTCGGCTCTTCCAAAGCCACCAGAGCTCCTCTCAGCAGGTCAAACGGCCCCCCCAGCATATGGCTGCGAGGAAGGTCTTCTCAAAACACACTGAAGAGGCGCCCACGGGGAAGGCCATGCCCACAAAAGATAAATCACTGCCCTCTCCAAACGTGACAGGGACTTGAAGGCACAGCTGGGCACCTGGAGATGAAGTGGGACAGTCAGAAGCGTTCCCACATGTCCCCTCCTCCTGTCTGTCTGTGGCACAGGGCAGCCTCACGCTTCTCTGGCCATTCCCAACGTCTTGCCATTCAGTTTTATCCCACTTTAGACTCTCTCAGGTCCATGCTCAGCCTTTTTCCTCCCCTCTGCCACAGCACAGCTCTGTATTTACACTGCCCAACACACAGGAGCAGGGAAGGTTATTACCATACACAGGTCACTGTGAGCAAGGTCCAGATAAAAAGCCCAGCACAAAGAACACACACATTTCCCCAAAAAAATCTATTAACAGTTCACCAGGGAGCCATCAGTTACAATAATCCCCCATTAATGCCCTTGGAAAAAAGCTCCAGGGTAAGGAAGGGGTTAAAACCTTCCACAGCAGAAATGGAATTTTTATGGCCCTGAAAAAAAAAAAAAAAAAAAAAAAAAAAAAAAAAAAGAAATTAATTGTCAATCTGCCCCAGCAAAGCTCACAACCATTTTGGTTAAGCCAATATACTTAAAATACCTCTGCCTTACAAGTTCCAGCTGGAATGTGTCACTGTGCCCCCCCAGAGCCCCCACGCTGCAGCCACGGCACGAGCCCCAGAGCCCCTGGGATGGGGGGGAGCTCAAGGTTGTCCCCAGCACAGGGGTCCCCACACAGATGCCCTGGGGACACAAACTGGTCACCTTCCATCTGTCCATGCTCACTGGGAGCGGGAGGCTCTGAAGGCACCTCCCCACCCTTGCAGGAGTTGGTGAGTCCTGCCTCGGCCCATGGGAGCACCCCAGTGTTGGTTTCAATATATATATTTAAGGGAACATCCCAATTCCATGAGCAAACGGAGGCAGGAGCTGGGCTGCCATCCTGAGGTGGCCCTGGAGACACCAGAGGGAGCAGAAGGTTCTCCACATGGAAGCCATGGCAAGTGTTGATGAGGACGAGGACAATTCAGTCCCCTCTTCAAATTTCTTCCTGGTTTCTCCAGGACAATGGGCTCATGTGAGGAGAAGGCAGTTAGGTGCAAGCAGGAGGCTGGGCAGCCCTAATCTTCCTCCTGAACCTTGTCCTTAAATCCCAGAACTAGCAGAGGATCCTTGAATGTCCCAGCTTTCACCAAGATAAACCTCTCCCTGGTTCACAGAGGCCCTA